GTCAAAACATCGAACTGTTGATTTTGACGCATAATAATGGATGATATAAAAGGTCTCCGGCCAGGTTTGGTAGCCTGCTCTTGTCAAAAGACTCCAAACTGGCATTTGGTTCACGAATTGTGCCTCCACTATTTCCTGGCAACTTTCGTGCCGGTCTTGCTCCACGGATTACGAGATCTCATTGAAATTTTCTGGAAAGGCATTGAGCAAACCACTCCCGAAGCTTTCGTACACTCATAGCATTCTCATCGTATACTTCACAAATTTTTCGGTATGTTTTGGCAAAAAAGCATCATATAGCGTATCTTTCGGGCAAAGGACTAGAAAATTATTTCCACGAAAAATGTTAGCTGAATTGTCACCATTTAAGCACATGTTCGCTTGAGACGATCAGGCGCGTGTTGCCCGGTGTATACGCATCAATACCATCTAGTGGCAAAAAACCGCGAAGACCTATCATTTCACGCATTATATGAGGTTCGTAGTCCACCTAGCGCGTTCGGCTTGCCGAACTATTTCTTATTCTAGGTATGTTGAATACCGAAAAAACAGATACAAGTGCATTGAGTTATATCCGAAGTTGACAGAAAAGAAGTGAGTTTAGTAGTCAAGTAGCAGCGAATTACGTTGACTTGGAGAAAGGTAAATTGGCTCGAGGCGGCATAAGCAGGTTAGAAAAAGACTAATGGAAGGAAAAAGATGCTGAGCTTGCCTTAAGCTAGTTGGGATGAGGGAAGATTACCTAAATTGTAAGAGAGTACGCTATTTATCAGGATATAAGGATGCCACCTATCTAGATCGGGAGACAGAGGGCTTGTTAAAAACAACTAGAGAAATGCGACGCCTTGGTTACAGATAAAGTAGGAGGAAAAAAATGTGGTTAAATCACGAGTATGCTGCCTACTAAAATCTTTCAAAGTCGCCTGGATTGATTGAGAGAGTACTAGGCTGGTCCTAGACCATCTCAACGCCAGTAGCCTACATGCGATTAGCTTGTCTAGAAAAGTTTTCGGTTGTCCTTAGATGAGGGCAGTCAGATGCTCTAATTACGAAGAGGTAGGCCTAAAAGATCGTGAACCATGTGGATACGGAAAAACTTGCCCAAGCTACCGTTAGTATATATATACCAGATTGCCTATTTCACAAAGTGCTAGGCTAGTCCCGGAACGCGCTGAAAGAGGGGAAAGGGTTTTGTGGACAACAATAAACTAGGAAGAAAACCTGAGCCACATCTAGTTTTCCTATGTTAAGTGGGCTATAAGATACTTAAGTCAGAGAAGGAAGGGTTGATTAAGCTGCCATTAGTAAGATGCCAGATAAAAGGAGGAGGATTAAGTTCTAGTCCAAGGGGTTCTAACGTGCGTTGTCTATCAGACATGGAAGTGTGAAATTATAATAAATCATAATAAATAAATTTCCGATTAACCTAAATGCTTGGGTACAAAATTGACTCCTCAAACCATCGATGTACTCAAAATTAAATGAAAAGAAATATCTTTCCACTTTTTGCTCTGGATTGGTATAAAGTGTTTTGCAATCACTTACACTTACATATATTAATTTGTCTTCATTTTGTCAATTTATTCAGTCAACCTATATTAAACTGTCACTGTCACTGAACAGATGTAGCGAACAGCGAATGCGTATAATCCTCTTGTTCGTTCAGCGCGGTTTGATTGTTGGATTAGTTATGTCAATCATTACAATCTAGCAGAGAGTTTCACAAAATTATTGCGTAAAGTTATCAGAGCTAAAGTTAATTAAATAATGCATAGCAATAACAAGACTATATAAAGCCTTTGCACGTAACATGAAAGTATATGCGAATAATGCCGAACGAGATATTATCGCAAGCTTCTGCTTGATAAGAAGGTGTAAATTAGTCATGAATTAAGATTTAAGACAAGCTTTGTTATGATTTGATGTTTCCAACTTTTTACATGCAACGGACTGACTGCCTGTCAATTCTTAAATTAGGCAAAATTGTCTGGCTTAGTATGCGGCTGTACTTTGTCCTATAACTATCTCTGTTCGTAAGCTCTCACCTACAATCCTGCAATTGCCCGTATATCACTCTACCTAAATAAACATAAAATATATATGAAACATTTTTTTTTTATTTTATACCCTAAACATTTCGTTATTATCCTTCTGCTGATATAGTGTATAGATAGATGCATGTGTGAGAATGCGAACATAAGGCTAAAGGATGATTTTATATACGTTATAATATAATCTGTTGTGTTGTTTTTGATTATTTAGTTATTCGAAATCAATTGCACGTGTGTGTCTCAATCGAAAACTAGATTAAGGCCAATTATGCTCGTTCGTTTTATGCAGATTATGTGAGGTAAAATTTTCCCAAATTATTTATGCTTTTAGTTATACAATCCATTTGAGAACTATATAAGAGTCACACTTAGTTGAGTAAGCTTATTACCAATGGAATAACTGTGGGTAGATGCGTACACAAGTGATTTAACATTTAAGAGATAAAAGTCTTCTATATGCAAAACCTGCCACAAAATGTAGAACATACACACACACATTTAAAAATTAAACTAAAATAAGATAACCGGCACTAAGGGGCATCTCTTTCGAACCAATCAAGCCACCAAGGGAATTACTAATGTAAATGAGATACAGATGACATCCTCTCTCTCATTTGGGTTTTTGCCAGCTCTGCAATTTCGCATACAATTAGTTCGATCTGTCAAAGAAAATACTGCCTCTTATTTTCGAAGAGAAATTCTACATATTTTTCCTTTTTCGTCGAATCGAACGGGTTCTATGTAGTAATTCTGTGTACTCGTATCAAATATTTCTACTTATTTGCATTAATTTTTCATGTTGTTGCTTAAACATTTGCTTCGTATTAAAGTGTCTGCTTTAAAAATATAAAATTTAATATTAATTTCTACTATTAAACTATTGTTACGGAAATCCCAAATCTAGTCATGTTCTACAACCAAATTTACATTCGCTAGGCGTCATGCAGCTGCAGATCGATGAAAGCGATTAGCGGGAAAACAGACAGGTAAAAGCAGAGTACGCAAAGCAGGTTAACAAATTAAATGTCACGTCATAAATTTAGGTATACTAACATTCTTGTAAAATTGTATATAAATCGAATATTTGTAAAAAGTAGAGTTAGTCTGGCAAGAACTTAGAAGTAGAAAGTATGGCCAAAATATATCGTAAATAAATATTCCTACTGTTGTGAGAGTCAAAGTAGTAAAATAAAAGAACTTTGAAGTGTATTTCTCTTGATCAAAATATCTACGATCTAGTGATGCGGACTGTATCTTGTAAAAAACGAATTTCATAACACTATGTTATTACGCAATTAATACGATATTGTACGCGGCTCTTATGAAAAACGAGCTCAATACAGCCGGCGTAGCATAAGGCGGTCACATCAATCCGCTCGCCCCTAGATGAGATTTAAGTGCATTGCTTCATACCTAAAATGAAGGGACAACATGGAACGGGAAGGGAGAATGTCTCCAGGCAAAGCAAAGCCTGTTCTACCTGCGTCGAATATTATGCACGCATATTGCATCGTTTGAATAATGAAATTAAGAAAAATCGTCGATAATGCATCTGTTCGCACAACCGTTATCGCGATGGAGAAAATCAAAGAGTTGAAACTCGCCTTTTTTTTTCTCCTTCTATTCACTAGTCGAAGCATACATTGCTAGCATACAGCCATGACGAGATGGACCTTAAAACTAAGGGCTCGGCTTCAAGGAGCCCGATATCGTTTAGTATACACAGAGTATCGCAGTTATTGAATATCGACGGCAAGATTACGTTGAGAATAGAAAATATATTTTCTTAAAGAATTTTGGGCTTGTCAGTTCGGGTACTTTCGGATCTATCCACGGGTGTATTCATTTTGCTGAGAGACCGGATCTCTCCAAGCCACAAATGAATTGAGAAAAGATGCGCACAGGCTACGCATGATAAATAAAAAATCTAAAAGCGTACGTAGACTGCTTTAGAGAGATACACACTTTTACATTATTCAAGAATAGCGTTTTCATATATTAAGACTTTGCTTCAATCTCACAGCAAATGGCTTGTTGCCTATGACGACTACTGGCTTTGAGGAATCATTCCTATTTTCAAATGTAATGAGGCTAGTGTGAGGATCATATCATGTCAGAGCAATTTTGCGTAAATAAACGAGATGAACGTATTGTTATGTCGATCAAAAGTATTTCGTTTATGTCGAATTTTGTGCCAAGGTTGGGATAGTTACTGCGGTTTTCACAGGAGTTAAGGAAGCCTTCGAAGAAATATATGACTTAAATATGCATAAGGCAGGGCACGCTAACACAGGCAATTTGCTAAACACCTTTGGGAAAGCTTTAATCTTAAAGATGCTTCACATTATGATCAGCTTGCCGTTATCAGGACTTTTCTGCTTGCACTTGAACGTTAAGGGGACGATTTGTTGAAATATATTATATTTGAAAATGATTTTATTTGCACTACGGACCACGTATGTCCAGTTTAATATGCAAAAGGGAACAGAAATTGATTGCACTTTGCTTTACCATTGAATGTTGTTTAAGTTTTCACTTTAAATTAAGATGATCGTTGGTCGTCGATATGGACCTTTTCAGTTTGCTCACACGCTAAGCGTTCTTCAATTTAACCGTCCGTCAAGTATTCTTCAGTTTAACAATGGTCATCCAAGTAATTTACACTTTAACCTTCTTCCATCGATTCAATTTAATTTCTTCTATTTCACTTTAATTGCTTTGCGTTTTCATTCGTTGCCCATTTGTTCGTTATTATTGCAAACGTGCCTAAACGTACACTTTTAGTTGGTAACAAGAGGAGAAAAATTTGGTTTTTTTGTCCGCTACTGTTTACTTTTCATTTGTTTGCGTTCGCAGGCTTCACGTGAGAGTAGGGCTAAAGGTTAGTTGCGTACATTAGCGGAAAATCTCTGTATACCGCGCACAAACAACAAACAACGGTTTACTCACCTGGCTGCGGTTGAGTGTAGTTGGCAAAGAGAGCTGAACAATTTTCGTAGCTTCTTATTTCAATTTTATAGCTCGGATATGTTATACTAGGCGTCGCCGTTGGTATATTTAAATAATGGGTAGCGGTTGCATTGTTTGGCGATAACAAAGGTGAAAGAGTTGTCGATAGTGTTTCTGATGCTATTGTCGATGTTGATGTTGATGTTGATGTTGATGTCGACGACTGTTTTATGATGGTATCATTTGTGTTGAGTGTAGCGGTCGTCTCTAAGCCTGTCACCGGTAAAAATGTTGTTGACAATAATGAGGTCTTTGTTGCTATTGTTGATGATGGCGGCTGCTCTTGCCGTTGTTGTTGTTGCTGCTGTTGATGCTGCTGCTGCTGTTGGTGCGGCTGATGGTGGTAATGGTGCTGCAGCTCTTCCATTGTCGGTGTTGCTATAGTATAGGCTGCCCCGTAACCCTCCGCATCGCTAACATTATTAAAATACATGTACAGAACACGTGTTACATTGTTGCGTATCGATGATATTGTAGCTGCCAAATTTTTCTCGATTATCTCATTTGTCTGATTATTAAATGTGAATGACGTGTCATCGCTTTCAAAGCTATTCCACTGTACTGTACTGGTGTCGATGGTGTTTGTGGCTAAATTATTCCATTCACTTGCCTTTTTCTGATTGTTCTCTATTTTTCTTCGCGTTAACAGTTTCACAGTATTGTTGGTAGCTGAGTGCAATGCCACTTTGAAATTGGTGATTAAAACCTTTTCTATGGGTTGGTGGGCTATTGATGGCTTTTCCAATCTCGTTAACATTTCTAAAGCTGTCATTGTCGTATTGTTTTTATTGCGGTTGCTGTCGAATTCCTCACTTCCATTTAAACGTTAATTCATCTGTGATCGAATTGAAATATGATTTATGCCACATTTCTTTTTTTTCTTTCTTTTTCATTTAATCTAAAATGAGAGACGAAACAAAGATTAAAGTTAAGTTTGATTCGCTTTGAAGAGAATATGAATTTTACTTCTTATACAATATATATGTTGACGGCTTTGCCGTAAAAATTATTTTGAAACCCGTGCCTCTCCTTATACATAGAAAGCCTGCAACTTCTGATTGTTCGTTCAGGTAATCATAAGAAAATATCGGAAGACGGAAGGATTGCCGGAAGGAAGACGGTCAAACTACTTGCTAGCGAAAGCACCAAAGTTCTGGCATAATAAACGTCCAAATCCCAAAAATTATTTAGTTGACTTTAAGGAACATTCGCTATATATAGTGAACATATTATATACGTAGTAAAGAATAACAAAATCTTGGTCAGAAGAAATGTGATACAATTTTTAGCGAGCTTTTCCTAAATAGAACCAATTTTATTGCAAAAGAGTGGCTATAAAAAGTCTATTGTCAGTCAAAATATTTTTCGCACCCTATTATCCTAACATCCGAGTTCTGCGACGAAGGTAAAACTTTACACGAAAGAAAGAATTTTTCATAAGAAAAGAAAGAAGATTGAAACCGACTGTGATCGGAGAGAATCAACTCTCGCGAATACGATGGATGAGGTATTGCATGGTCGAGCTAAGTGCGTTTATAATTTATGATCTCTACAAGATCGTCTCATAATGCATTTCGTATGGTTACGCTGCGCTTGAGAAATTTATAACACAAAAAGGATTCGCTTTAAGTGCGAATACGATAAAATACTTAATGAAAGTTTGATTGAGTTTTGAATAAGTTCGCCATCTACTAATACCGCGAAATTAAATCAAAATTTGAATAGAGTTTAAAAAAGTGAAATATTTCCTAAAATCTTCTGTGCATCTCGCTGGACGTTATAAAGTCAACGTCAATTAATATATAAAAACGAATTAAAAATTCGTTCGAATTAAAAGTTCATTGTCCGAGAGTGGCAAGTGCATGAACTCAACTAAATGTAATTAAATGCTTTCAATAAATTCTAGAATTTGAAACTAAGCTTAAAGCTCGAGTTCATTTTTCTGTTGAGTTTCTTTATTAGCCACCGCTGAATAGCATCAGATTTTGAATGGCCGTCCCTTTGTCCATCCGTCCATCCGTCCATCTCATGTTCTCTCTCGTACATATTCCACGGGCTAGAAAAATTAGTACATTTGCTTGGGAGTTCTTGTATGCATGTTGTTATTAGAAATGAACCATCATATCGGTCGAAGGACCCATTTACAATATAACATAAACGGGTCTGTGTTTAAGTTTTCTGCTCTTTACTCCCAAACTAGAGCAGGTAGAGCGACGAGTCTTTTCACCGCGATTTCTATGGGCGATTCTGAAAAATCTGTTATGTATCGATTATGTAATTCCGATATCGAAAGTTTATTTCTTTCGTTTGCTTGCGTTATTGTGGAGTTGCATGTAACTTTCATATTTGTTAAGTTCTTTATGCGTAAAATCATAGATTTGACTTTTTACAACCTATCCTCGGCGAACGAAATTAGTTCACTGACTTAGTTATACTGATTGCAAGTGCAGAGTAAAGATCTTTATGAATATTTTTTATTTAAATTTTCAATTTTTTTTTTAATTAACCCAAATAGCGGACGAATTGAAACATTTTCCAAAAAAAAAAGTAGATCGATGATGGTCACAAATTACTCTGGGAAGAGAAAGAAATGAAGTGAGTCTCACAAGCCGCATTGTTTTTGTAACAAAGCCGCTCCTGACTTTTAATTATGTGTATTTTCCTTTTGTATCGCGATTACATACGCGTTCGTATGTAACGTTGAAGAGGGAAAAATATATTGAAATCAAATTCTTTCGTTGCTAAATAAATTATTATCAGGAATGGAAGCCGAAAAGGCTTCGAGAAGATGGGTTATTCGAAAGGAGAGCAGCGCGGTTAGTAAACCATCAAATCGCGCTGAGAAAATCCAATTGTCTTATGCACCCGAATACGGTTGATGTTAAGCACTTACATATAGATGTATATTCCGTTTGTATATATTTCCACGCGTACTGCTCTACAAAGGGCCATCAATAGAACGTGTGGGCTGTCGCTATATCGTCGTCCGATTGTCCTGGGAGTATCCACTAGCAGATAGGGGACGCACTCTCTAAGTGAATCGCAACAAAATTTTGGGTTTAGATTCAAATATAATTATCCAAGATTTGTCTGTACATATATAAGCTTGGCATAGTCCACACTACACACACCCACCTTCACGAAATAAGAAAACTTTCGGTACTCCTTACTTATAGATGATAAATCGGAATTTGACCGCAATACTTGAGCTCATGATAAATGCATTTGCTTGGATTGCGTTACTGACTAAAATGCTTTGTGTGCTTTTCAAGTATTTGCCTCAGGCGATAGATGAGTGTCCAAGATTCGTTCTAAAACGCTGAAGTCTTTCTTTATTTGCTTTATTTCTATTTATAAAAAAAAAAAAAAAAAAAAAAAAAAGCAAATAAAGGAAAAAATCCTATTTATATATCAAAAGCTAGACCAAGAACAACAAAACATCAAAAAAGAAAAACAAAAAAGAAAACCTAAAACCAATTTCTAGTTTAAAAGCTCATAGACTCAATCAATCAATGGAACAAAAGTAAACAAAATATCAAATGGCAATAAAACTGAGAAGAAGGAGAAGAAAAATAGACATCAACTAAACTTCCCATAGGAGTAACAGCAACAATAACAGTTAAACTTATGATTCATGTTCATTATCATCGCTAACTTAATCATCGTTCTATTAGTTAAAAGATGAAAGACGAAAAAAAGGAAAAGAGGAAAGAAAATACGAAAATTTCACTGAGATTTCTTCCTGTCCTGTCCTGTCGTCTGTGTGCCAGCGAATGAAAACAGATTAAAAAAGAAAAATCATAAAAAATGAGATAAGTTGTAATCAGCGAATGTGGAATGCCGTCTTCCCAAGCAGTCGCATAGACAGTAATCGACAAAAGCATGCGACCAATTACTCACACACGTTTAAGTGGCAATTGTTATTTGATAGTTGGCGGTTGAGCCTTGAGACTTGTCACTAGATCGTGAAAATATGTTAAAATGCTTGCCCTTAGACGTACGTAAGATATTAACCTTTACACTACGCTTTACCCTCTGAAAATGTAATCGTATCAAAATCATATTCGCCAATTTTCTACGTTCCGTTACGTTCTTGTGACTGTTTGTGAGTGAATATGAAATTCTTAAATGAGAATCACGTCACTAAAGCTTTGTTTCGAGAAACTGCTTGCACAAATCTGATTGACCTGTCAAACGTTGCTTGGCATGAATTAAAATCTTAATCTGAGTCGACAGTATTCGCAACAAATTTTTGCACTCTTACTTTTACCTATACGGTCATGCGAACTCCACAACAAATGTACGAATGTCATATCAATTTCAAGTAATTTGTATTTGTATTGCAATTTATTAAGTTTCTCATGAGTATTTGCGATTGTTACAAATGAAATCGCAAAACTGATATATCCCCCTTAGCGTGCAATGAAGATTTTAAAATAGTACTAAATGAAAGAAAAGTCGGTAAATGGTTTCAAACTTTTGCTATGCTTTCTTTAACTCTAATTATTGTTTGCCTTTCCCGCGGCATTCAATGATTCAATTGTCAAGTACTTGCGTTTGTAAGATTAATTTCTAATTGAAAAAATGTTATAAAGATTTCTTTCTTTCATATATTGAAAATAATTCATTTGACCAAAAGAAGTGACAGCGTGACAAATCATATGTAAACAGGACTCCTATAGCTGTAAACGTGATCGACAAATCGACTCGCGGAATATCGTCGAGAATATGCTAGAACTTGAACATTAAAATATCGAAGGCAACGAAAGCGTTCTTAGAGCGCCCGCAGGACTACGATAGATTCGAAATCTTGCTGCAGTGCACCAAGCAGCCATGTCAAGAGGCTGGTGTGGCTGTGTGCGAACAAAAAAAAACCAACAAGGCATTGAAAGCATAATGAAAGACAACGGCAGGCAAAAAGATTTGTAAAATCTCCTAGCATAGCAAACAAGCTATCGAAACAACGAAGGAGAAGTGCCCGAATATTTGAATAAGGAAAAATAAATAAAAAATTTATTTTTTTAATACGAAAACCGATAAGACTGAACGCTCTGGTCATCCGAATCAGAAAACCACAAAACATAAAAGAAAGCGGAGAAAATTGCTTGAAGGACCAAAAAGTCAAGTTGCCTGAGATAGCTGACACCTTAAAGACATTGGAAGACATTCTAAGTACTCTTTTACATGAATATTTGTCCTTGACAAGTATCTCTTCAAAGCGGACACCACGTTTACTCACTTTTACGAATAACGTGTTGATGATTGAGAGCAATGATTGGTCTTGGGCAGGCGGAATAAAAACAATCGTAATCGTAAACGAAAGATGCATTCATTGCTACACTCCGCAGTCAATTCGGCAATTAACCGATAGGACAGTAATTAGCAAAAGGTGTAAAACGCTATCAGAAAAGAAGCATCACTTAACTGTAACTTGTACAGTCGGAATGTCATGAAATTTTCATACATTTCGTTAGACACGTAGTATTGTCCAGAAGTCATATGGATGTGTTAGCACCGTTGGCATATATCTGTTAGACCGGAGACTTATTGAGTGATGTAATCATAATATTTCGCCAGCATGATTTCGATATGATTCTTTTCGAATGTGATAACTTGCAAATGGTTTTAAGCTACGAGTTGTTTTAAAAATTTTAAATAATTTCCGTTTCGTCTTTCTCTTGAAAGATTAATTTGCGACTATTTTCAAGTTCAATTTGTGGAATTATGGTCAACAACTTATGCGGAAAATTTCATTTATTCCCATATCATGTTTTCATTCTTATGCTTTTGTACAGGTATACGTTTCTAAATATTGCATATACAGTATGTGTGAAAAATAATGAAAGGAAACAAATTTTGTTTTGGGCCTTTTTGTTCTCGTTCTCTACATTTGATTGC